GCCCAGATATGATCCATCCCAAACAAAAACTTCAAACTGGATAAACGGCTTCTTCAGTTCTGGTCCAATGAGATTTATTTGGTCTTCCGATAATTTACGTTAGGTTCTTTTTTCAGACCAAGAGTTTGTTTAAATACCTGACAGTTTCAACTGCTCACTAGTGGTCTTCCTCAGAGTGGTCACATGATGTTACTGTGACGTGTCGGTCAGCTGATTAATACAGGTTTTGGTGCTGTCTTCCTACTGGTGGAGGCAGGATGATAGCGCCATGTGTAGTCCGACTTTCTCAGGACAGTATCTGAGGTGTGTGAGAGTAAAAAAGCTCCCTCGTCCCCGTTTATAGTCCCATGGGCACTTGGGCCACTTTAATCCAGCAACAGTGTTTGTTTTCCTCTGTCCAGAACATAAAGAGAAGACAAAATTATCAACACACCAGTGAAACCTTAGAGAAAACTCAGGCTATTACTCATTCACCCAAAAGCCAAAATAGAACCGGAGCATAAATGTGATGCCATACATGAAATACCCTGCCTGTCCTGAAATAAACATACATCAGGGAAACAGGGATAGCGTTCAGTACACGAAAAAAGGAACAAAGAACAGAATGCAAGAAGGAAACAGCGAAGGCGTGCACGTGAGCAATACAACACCAAGCAGAACAGGAACAACTCAAATCAGCCTTTTGTGACTACTGTAAAAGAGAGAACCACATTATGGACTGGGACAGAGCAAGCATCACTGGGACAGAGGAAAACAAACACGTCGCTAAATTAAAGAGGCTATGGGATAATATGGAAACGTGCCCACGGGGCTATAAACCGGGACAAGGAGGCGTTTTTATTCTCACACACCTGGGATCTTCCTACCGGTAGAGGCAGGATGACAGCGCCAAAACCTGTATAAACCAGCTGACCGGAAATGTCACAGCAACTTCACGTGATCACTCTGAGGAAGATCGATAGTGAGAAGTCGAAACTGTCAGGTATGAAAACAAACTCTTGGTCTGAAAAAATAACCATATAACATTATTCAGTTCTGGTCAGACGCTGATGGACACTGCCTTATATTTGTCTGAAGGGAGGAGCTAACTACACTGAAACTACTCTAAAACTAACACACCTAAATCCGTGTATCATTCGTTCATTCGTTTTTCAATATAAAACCAAAAATAAGAAAACGAAAAAACAACAGTTTTCTTCGCTATTTGTCTCCAAAACCAAAATGAAAAAAACGGATAACGATTCGTTTTTTCAGTTATCGATTTTGTGTTTAAATGAAGAATGGAAAAAACGGATAACGGCCATTTCCCGTTTACGTGACTTCCGTGACTGCGATGCCGGACTTTTGCACCGCATACAGACTGAATCAGGACGGATCCAGGTCCAAGACCAGACCGAGACCAGAGCGGGACTGAGACCGGGACAGAGCTGCTCTGGTCCTCCGCGCTCAAGAACCGCGGCTGGTTCCGAGGTGGTGCAAAGCCTCCGACTGACGCATTCACACCAATGAAAATGAATCGAACTAAGAGCTTTTGGTTCAAATGGACCAGGTCCGGGACCAGACCGGGACCAGACCGGAGGCTCAGAGCCCACGGCAGGGCCGGAGCTCGAAGCTGAGGCTCGGACCCCGTGGAGGCTCAGAGTCAAAGCTCGGAGTCCGACCTGGTCCCGCTCTGGTCCCTGTCTGGTCCCGGTCTCAGTCCCGCCCTGGTCTCGGTCTGGTCTCGGACCTGGATCAGTCCCGGTTCAGTCCGTATGCGGTGCAAAAGTCCGGCATCGCAGTCACGGAAGTCACGTAAACGGGAAACGGCCGTTATCCGTTTTTTCCATTCTTCATTTAAACACAAAATCGAAAACTGAAAAAACGAATCGTTATCCGTTTTTTCATTTTGGTTTTGGAGATAAATAACAAAGAAAACTGTTGTTTTTTCGTTTTCTTATTTTTGGTTTTATATTGAAAAACGAATGAACGAATGATACACGGATTCACCTACTTGTTTACAGTTCCTGTTTGTTAGGTAGGTCTAATGAACTGCAGTAAGTGTGAAATGTGCCTGAGTCATATTTAGCATAATCATTCAGACCTCTGATGGATGCTCTAACGCCATTAGCATACTGTTTACTGTTTTCCCAGTTTTGATTTGGGTCTGAGGATGGAGTTATGAAAGAGAGATAAACAATATCGCTGAACAGAAATGGAAAGCTTTGACATCATTTATCTGACTTCACTCTCAAACAGTTGACATAATTGAATTTTTCATTTGCAACTGTGAATGTTATTAAAATGATTCTTATGCTTGGTGAAATTATGACACTCATTCAGCATTTCTGTTTTTATTTGGGTGCAATATATGATGGCATCTTGAAGTCTTCCTTGAAAACATTCTTCGATAGTCCAGCAGACAAGTTATATACCACTGATGTGTTCATAGTGACATAGCATGTGCCTGAGTCTGAGTCACATGCTTCCACATGAGAAGAGAAGGACAACTATATCAGCAGATACATCTCTAACCTCTAACAAGCTGCTCTCACTAAAAGCTCACAAAAAAATCTGTAAAATCAACATCTGGACTAGTGATGAAAGATGTTTTATATAAACAGAAAAGAAAATAATCAGCTACTCATATTTCTCTGGAATAATGTAAAGCAATAACATCAAAAGAGATAAGCAGGTGGTGTATTTGTTACCAAAAATGCACAGTGCAGTGGCGCTTTTGCCGCTTATCTTTTTTACATTTATATTTAAATTACACAATGTAACAACAGGTACATTCAGTACTTCTTATGAACCTATAGCTGTGAGAGCTGGTAAAAAAAAACACACGCAAAAAAAAAAAAAAAAAAACATAACAAAACAAATATGGTCAATACATTCTCACAAAAAAATGTATTTTTTCACTTTTTTCACAAACAACATTTATTTAAAGATGTGCAGTGATTCAGATGGAGAGTCCTCTTTGCGTACATGGAGATGGTACTGCTTTGCCTATGCCCCACAATGTGCCACAGTATGGCATTAAACTTGCCTATTCATGATGACAACATGAGTCCAAATTACAGGCTAGACCCGGAGAGGTAACACCACTAAGATGCATGTTTTTCCAATGTACTTATAATCAATTAAAATGCCCATTATAGAACAATGGATGCAGTAGCATCAATAACATCTCCATGATGGGGACACCTTGCAGTGCACTTTTTGTCTGCTATCAAACGTTTTTTGTTTTTGTTTTTATTTTTATATTCACACTTTAATTAAACATTTTAACAACAGTTACATTCAGTAGTTCTTTTTATTTTAAAGCACATAGGTGTGTCTATATATTATGAAGCTATAGCTGTTCATGCAGGCTGTTCAGCCATAAATCATTGTTGACAGGATCTCACTGTGCGCAATACAGCTCAGCTCATTTAGTCAAAAACATATCTTTTACAAAGCAGTTTCTGAAACGAAACACCAGAAAGAATTCAAACGTCCAACTGCACATACATTTTTTTCTTGACACAACTTTTACATTTATGAAAAAAAAAAAAAACTTCCATGCTGCAATCATTTGCATTCAGATTTTTGTATGAACACACTGTGTTGTCCTTTGTACCTTTGTACATTCTTCAAGCTCTGTACTTTATGTATGAAATAAAGGAAATCAATACTGAACTGTGATCACTGCCACAGGGACCCGTGAGTGAACAAAAGACATCATAAAAATGTTCAGATGAAAATACAGCATAGAAACATATATATATATAATATATATATATATATATATATATATATATATATATATATATATATATATATATATATATATATATATATATAGATATATATAGATATAGATATAGATATAGATATATATATAGATATATATATATATACATAGTATATTACGATTCCTGCAGGGTATCTGATCACCCCGACAGATGAGGTGCTCAGAGAATGTCTCAGACAGTGGGGTCCAGAGGAAGAGGTGCTGGAGGGACCATCATGGCAGGACAAACCCCTACATGGGGCGTACCACCGGAACATAACTGAAGTGGCTGATATCAAGAAATCCTACCAATGGCTTGAGAGGGCTGGTCTGAAGGACAGCACAGAGGCACTGATCCTGGCTGCTCAGGAGCAGGCCCTGGGCACTCGAGCAATAGAGGCCCAGATCTACCACACCAGACAAGACCCACGGTGTAGACTGTGCAAAGAGGCTCCTGAGACAGTCCAGCACATAACTGCAGGGTGTAAGATGCTGGCAGGGAAAGCATACATGGAGCGACATAACCAAGTGGTGGGCATAATGTACAGAAACATCTGTGCAGAGTACGGGCTGGAAACCCCAGGATCAAGGTGGGAAACACCTCCAAAGGTTGTGGAGAATGACCGAGCCAAGATCCTGTGGGACTTCCAGATACAGACTGACAGGATGGTGATGGCGAACCAACCAGACATAGTGGTGGTGGATAAGAAACAGAGCAGAGCCGTGGTGGTGGACATCGCAATACCAAGCGATGGTAATATCAGGAAAAAGGAACACTAGAAACTACAGAAATACCAGGGGCTCAAGGAGGAGCTGGAGAGAGCCTGGAAAGTAAAGGCATATATATATATATATATATATATATATATATATATATATATATATATATATATATATATATATATATATATATATATATATATATATATATATATATATATATATACACGTATTTAGATTTTTAGAAGTTAAGTTGTAAGTTTGTGTGAACATTTGTGTGCATAAAATCGAACACTTTATGGTCTTGGCTCTTTCTCAGAGCTAAGACCATGAACACCATAATAATAGTTGTCCAGTTCATCTAAAAAAAATCTGTTATTTTGGATCTCACTGGATATTTGAGTTTTTTGTTGTTTTACCCAAATAACTTTCTTAAAGTCTTCTTGACAAAAGGGTAATTACTCTTCTGGAAAGAAACACTCTCTACTGGCATCACCACATCCAACAACAATGAAAACACATGGCTCTATAAATTGGGTTTCTGCAGCCAGCTGACAGCTACAATGGGCTCCACAGAGAGCACATCTGTTCGGCCTGGGAGCACCTCCCTGGCGCTGAACACCACGTGCGTTTCCTTGGCATTGTGGGAGTGGCTTGTGGAGGCGTGGCTTTGCTGTAAGGAGCTGTGAGCTGCGTGGGACTGCACCGCTCTGGACCTGGACGAGTCATTATCGGGCCAGGCTGTTCTACGACAAGGGGGAATTATCTCCACCGGGCGACTCTCCGGCTCCAGCCCCACCACCGGCCTCCTGCGTTTACACATATCCAAAAGCAACTGCAGCTCCTGACGAAATGTGGGGTTTAAACAACAGTAGATGAATGGATTGTAGCAGGTGGAGCTCATTGCTAGCCAGTGAAAACAGAAATATAACACGTTGGATGACTGGATAGCCTGGCTGGACAAAAGCACCACATAGCAGTTAAGAGGAAACCAGCAGACTGCAAACACTCCCACCACTAGGAGCAGCATAGCGAGGGTCCGTCTCCTCTTTTTCCTCTGGGTGGCGTGCTGAGCAGTGGTCGTGTCACCAATTGCATTATGGCGCCAAAGACGTCTCGCCACGGTGGTGTAGGAGATGGTGATGATGAGGAGAGGGAGCATGTACAAGAGCACGAAGGTCAAAAGGTCAATGTACTGCCAGTAAACATCTGAAGGCTCTGGGAAATCTGGCACACACAGACTGCGCTCCTTTTCTTCACTAAAAACACAGAAAACAACAGCAGTTTAGAAAAATACTAAACAAATAAAGAAGTCTAACACAGTTTGCCTCTTGGTAACTATCTTAAATAACATAATTTAAACCAATTAATCGACTTAGAAGTGGACAGCAATTTTCTGCAGTGCACAATGAGTGTAACTGAATTGATCATCAACTTGAATTGATCATCCCTTGACCATACACACAGGAAAATTTGTATTATTATTTTTTTTTATTATAAGTCTGGTATGTGAGTAATTTTTCCATCACAATTCATCAGTAATCTTTGTTAACTCTAAATTGATTTATTTTGTACAATGCTTATAGAATAAACACAGTCTGCCAGTCTCCACTCAGTCTCTCTGCTCCACTCATAGTCTCAAAAGACGTCCTGTTTTATAGCTAGTTGCTTTTTGTATGATTGTTGAACCATCTGCTCAAAGTTACAAAACAACTGCATGTTTAAAACTGTAATAAAAGTAAAAATACACAAAAATAAAATAAATTAATTTTTAAAAACCTTTTTGCCTGTGGTCCTGGTCAGTCTGTTTAATGAATAATTTCTGAAGAAAAAGAGAATCTTGACATTGACATCTATCCCTTGGCTCCCAAAATAAATTTCCCATTAATTTTTCCCATAGACTGTACGAAAAAAAAAAAAAAAAAAGAAGACAGAAAAAATTAAAAAAGAAAAAAAAATAGTTTGCAATACTCTAATATAATCTAGTGGTCTCAATACCTATTTTTATTTTTATTTTTAATCTGTTTCCGAAACTTTATAAGTTGCTAAATCATAAAAACATTTTACAAAGTTATGTTTTTTAAATGTGATTTTTGGACTTAAAACAGTCATGTTAAGGATAGTAGTTATGCCTTTGTGTCTATGGGGAAAATTAATGGCAAATGTACTTCTGGAACCGGAGCGTGCAGTTGCTGTTGGGCAGGCTCAGGAGCTCCATTTTCATTGGTTATTTATAGCAAAAGAGAAATTCAATTCTGTCAACTGGACAAAAGTTTCTTGACTAAATACATTCCGCATCTCATCTAAGATGGGGGATTTTGCAAACATTGGTTGTTTATGTTTTTATCAGTCAATATAAGCACTTCACTCATGTCGTATGAATGTAATAACCCATCTTTACATATCACCACGGAGATCCCACCAGCCTTTTTGTCTTTTGGTACGGTCTTGCTCTTTTACCCTTTTCTTTGTGACCATGAACTTCACTGATGTGAGAAAAATTGACTTGTATAAACTGTGATGACAAAGGGGTGAAATGAAGTACAACAATGGAAGTCTTAAAATGCATATTTCAAGCACAAACTAATTTAAAGAATAAATCCATGATCATTCAACAATGAACTCGGGTCCCTCATGTCCTTTTGTTTGTCAAATTTATTTTGTTACAGTTAAAGTAAAAGAAATACCCAACCAACCACTTTGCCGCAGACTGAACATCTGACATACTTGCCTCCTGTGGTGCTTGTTAAATATAAAGGTACATATGAAATACCATCACAAGCACAAAACCACTTTGCCACTTCAGATTTGTTGAGCTGCTGTCAGCCACACTCACCACTTTCACAATACTTTTCACGGTTGCGTAACAGACCTTGTATTGATTGTACCTTCTTGAATGTCAACAAGTGGCTCTGTGTGTGGCCATGATGGGTTAAATTGATGTGTTCCTCTCTTTACACACATACATAAGGTGATAAACTTAGTGGTGGATGAAGTACTCAACTTTATTACTTAAGTAAAAGTGCAGATACTTGGGCAAAGAATTAAGTAAAAGTATCATATGATTAAAAAATCTACTTAAGTAAAAGTATTAAAGTACCTGTTTAAAAATGTACTTAAAGAGTAAAAATTTAAAGTATTTTGCAGAGAGTTTCAGAACAATTATACAATGAAATGTAATGATTTTGATAATGAGTGATTCAATTGATTTCCTAAGTTTTCTAGTTGTTTTGGTGAATTTGTGTATCTGGTTTGCTCAAAGTTGGGACATTAACTTGTCTCAGCCTTTTCAGCAGGTCTCAAACCATAAAAAAAGTACTTTTTACTTTTCAGTCCAGACCTAAAATATAGTGAAGTAGAAAGTATAGATACATGCTCTCAAATGTAGTGAGAAGTAAAAGTAAAAAGTATCCACTGTAAAATGTAATTAAATAAAGTACAAATATGTAAAAACTGTACTTAAGTATTGTACTTTTGTATACTTCATTACCTTCCACCACTAGACATACTGCACAGACATTAAAGCTGCACTGTGCATCTTTTCTGGTGCAAGGTCTGTCAAATGCTTTTCTCTATGGAGATGTTATTGCTTTGTCTGGAATGTTTCACAGTATGGCATTAAAACTTTCTATCTTCGTGGAGACCAAACCAGACCAAGTTACAGGTCAGATCTGTCAGAATGTCTGTTTTTCTAGGTATTTTTGAGCCATAAAACCACCTGTAATTGATTAAATGTAAAGTAGGTGTGTTTACTCTCATTAAACATTCCTGGCAGAGAAATTACATATCCATGGAAACAAGCAGGTGATGGATCCTCCACCGTAAAAGTTACACAGTGCACCTTTAAGTGGTTTACCTGTAAGTAAAGGTCAGGAGTTGTTGGTAGATGGCGTGTGGAAGCGAGAAGCAGCTTCCCATTATCCAGATGACGGCCACCCAGCAGCCCCCCTGTGTCAGAGACATCCGCGGACGAAGAGGGTGCAGAATCACCTGAGGTACAGAACATAACAGGTTAATGTTCATATTTTCAAAACCAGGTCGTTTTCGTGAACAGTGGTGGGGCTTGTTTCCATGGATATGTCATTGCTCTGTCTGGAATGTTCCACAGTATGACATTAAACAACAGCTCTTTTTTACATTTATCCATTTACAGGTGGTTTTATGGCTTGTACAAAAACAGGTATTCTGACTGAGTGGGGTCGCCTCTCCACAGATCTGAGCTGTAACTTGGTCTGGTATGGTTTAATGTCATACTGTGACACATTCCAGACAAAGCAATAATGTCTCTCTGGAGAAAAGAGACCTCCACCAGAAAAGTTACACCATGCACCTTTAAGTAAAAGTACAGACATCAGAACAAAGAAATACTCATGTAAAAGTAAAAGTATCACACGAAAAAATCTACATAAGTAAAATATTAAAGTACCTCTTTAAAAATGTCCGTAAGGAGTAAAAATTTAAAGTATTTCCTGCAGTTTTTGTGATCAAATAAAGCTTCAATGTTAACTGTTTAAAAAATTTTTGTTTGCTCAAATTACAATTGTGTTAAAAATAAACCTTTTCAGCAGGTCTCATACAATAATAAAAAATAATTTTACTTTTCAGTCCTGTTAACAAATGTAGTTCAGCAGAAAGTCCAGATACCTGCTCTCAAATGTAGTGAAGTAAAAGTAAAAAGTAACCATCTAAATGTACTTCAGTAAAGTGCAAAATGTATACTAAAGTAGAGCACTTTACTACTTTTACTTTGTTATGTTCCACCACTGTTTGTGAATAATGTGTAATGACCATACACTATTTTATCTAAAATCTAGCACAGTTGCTATAACAATTAACAATTCAAAACAAAATATTATTGATTCAAGTGGTAAAGGTACTTAAAATAAGATCTAGGAAGATGAAACCCATGAATATCAATACTAAGCCAAAATATGTGATCAAATGTAGAAATGTTTTGCACTCTGCATGGAAGAGAGTCCACCGCCTGCTTGTCTCCATGGAGGTTAAATTTATCTATCGCCATGGAGACCAAGTGCTACTGTCACTTTAGAGAGGTATGCCCCCCTTGAAAAACAACAAAACAAAACACTAGTATTAAAAAAAAATGCTAGATAGAGATTTTAATGCACTTCTAGAACATTTCAGGCAAAGCTATAACATCTCCACTCCACCCTGCTTTACACATAATCTGACAATAATACATACCATTAGAGATTACATATTGTACCTGTGGCTCATTATGTTATTATTTACACATTTGAAATTGCAGTATTCATGTAAAATAACTTAATTAAAGAATTAGTCCGCAGACCTTGCCCATTGGGAACTAATGTCGCCGTAACCATCATCACAAACAGAGTCGTGTTATGGATTTGTCGAGCCCGGTGTGTAAATGGCTCATATCTCTCGCACGCCACAGAAAGTCAGCCTCTGTGGTCTAAGTAAAATGTAAAGCTCTTATGTTGCTTCTTATGTGGAGATGTGAATTTACGCACTCATCCGCTCTAAGGGAAAGCAGTGAGAGGTTTGTCTATCTGCGACACACACGGACAGCTTCTTGTGTCTCCATTTGAGTCAATGCAAACTGGACATGTCAGTTTGGGGAAGCACCACCTCAGACATATGAGCTGACACTTTGCCCGCTTTGCATCATAGATATCACAGGTTTAATAAAATTATACGCACTCAAAAGAAAAACAACATACAGGATTTATAATGAAATATTAGTTTTTTTAAAGTTGGGTCCTTGCAAGGCCACGCCCACATCCCCACATGCTGACATATCACCACCAACAGATCCTTAATGCCAACAACTCATGTGGATATCTGCCCATCACGCTAGCGAGCAGTGGATTTGTGTTCATTTGTACAAAAATTACTACATGATGCTGTTGAATGCTGCACCTCTCACTGATGAGAAAATAAAATTGTAGAATGAAGTTAGTCCAGAGCTGTGGGCGTAAGCCGCTGGAGGTGAACACAGGGCATGATCAGCAATTTGGTGTCTTGAAAATAAGTTAATTAAACGTTACTCAAACCTGCACGAATCGCTCCAAATACAATGTCAAGAGGGTAAACGAAAAGGGGATTATTAAAAAACTCTGAAAAGTTGATTTTGCATAATACAGTAGGTGTCCTTTAAAATGTAAAAATTTTGAGCGGCGCAATGAACACAGCTGGTTTGTGGGAAGTTGAATCAAGAGCAAACTCACTTAACTCAATTATGTTACCCTGTGAACACCTTGTGGGGCTCCCCTTGTTAGGTTAATTATGGTGTTACAGAGAACAAAGGCGGTTTAGTTGTTCTGTTTTGAGTGATGTGAAAAAAACTTTCTTTCATCTGCTCTATAGAGTCTAAATCAGGAAATTGCACTGAGCTGTGATTAGCACCATGTGGAGACAGAATGTTCCCAATAGTGACAAAGACCTGGATGAGAGCGAAGGGAGTGACAGATGTCATATTGTGTACTGTGTAGTGATGCTGAAAGCATGTTCCTCACCTCCAAAGCTTCCTTCATATTCATATGAGACTGGCAAATGATCCCACTGACTGCAGACAAATACAGGGCTAGAGTCACGAAGGTCTCCATTCATTTATTCCCATCACAACAGCAGCTGTGTCAAATACAGCAGTCTACAGGTTGTAAATAATATGAAGCCAGGATGACTCTTTGAACACCTAGACTACAATATATAAAACATTATGCATCAAATTAGTTAAAATGAATTCATAAAATAATAACATAACATTTGCTCAAACCATAGAAATAACTATAAGGGAATGCTCAATCAAAATCAAACAGACTCTCACTATAATAATCATTAATCAATCACAGCTTTTGTGGTCAAAATAAGTCTGCAGCAGGCTGTTGTTTTATTGTCTGACAATCAGGAGAGCGTGCTTGGCCTACTAGTTGTTATTAGCATTTATCATGATGGTAAAACTTTGCTTTGGCCTCTGAAGTTGTGAAAAGCAACTGAATAATTAGGATGCTCACAAGGCATAAGGTAAGTGAGGAAGAACCAGCAGTGTCTGACGTGTTTGTGAGAGCTGTCACCACAGAACAAACGCGCACTTTTTATAATAATGAAGTGACACTGAGGGGTTTGACATTTACTTTTCCAAACAGGCATTGCCACACACCAGTTACACAACCCTGTTTATAACATGTTGTTTTTTTTTTTTTTTTTTCCCCCAGTGAGTGCAGCATTTCAAGACTAAAGCTAAGGCTGCTTCATGGCTTTTCATAATGTCACAGTCTCTTTCTTATTATCCATTTATTCATCTATTCTACACAGCAAAAACTGCAGGGTTGAAAAAAAAGTGTTATTTAACTATTTAAAAGTTAAATGGGGGATTGAGTTGATATGGTTGACATCAATTCAACTTCCCTCAATGTTAATTTGCCACCTAAAACCCACCAATTTAAACTCCCACAAGAGAAGACCAGTTTGAACTAATTTTGTACATAATTTCATCTTAAACAAACTAAAATAAAGTGTAAAAATAAAACACCTGTGTTATTTATCTAATCAGGATAACCCTACACAGTGTCACTACTACTCTCAAAATGTTAATATAACTCTTGATTTCGGGGTTAAACTGTTAAGGAATTACTGGTCGGACCCAAATATGCAGTAGGATGAACACGTAGTGCTTGTGGGAGTTTGAGGCGAACGGAAACAGGATTTATCACCCTTTCAATTTCAAACGGCCCAATGAAGCGGGGTGACAGTTTCTTGGAGTCAGCTTTTAAAGGGATGTGTTTTGAAGATAACCAAACTTTCTGACCTGGGGTGTACTTCGGTGAAGGGCGGCGATGACGGACAGCCTTATTTTGAGATGAAGTCCGCAACAGTGCCTTCCTGGTCTCCTTCCAGATCTTACGACACTTCCGCATGTGGGCTTGGATGGAGGGTACAGTAACTTCAACCTCGTCCATGGACAAGAGAGGAGGTTGATAGCCAATGGAGCACTGAAAAGGGGAGAGACCAGTGGCAGAGGAGGTTAAAGAGTTATGTGCGTACTCTACCCAAGGTAGGTGTGAACTCCAGGAGGCAGGGTTGTGACTGGCCACACAGCGAAGGGCAGATTCCAGGTCTTGATTGGTTCTTTCGGTTTGACCATTAGTCTGTGGATGGAAACCAGAGGAGAGGCTGACGGTGGTACCCAGAGATTGATAAAACGCCTTCCAAACCTGGGAGATGAATTGAGGACCCCGGTCAGAGACAATGTCAGTAGGGATGCCATGCAGGCGGAATACGTGCTGTACCATGAGGTCGGCAGTCTCTCGAGCTGAGGGCAGTTTAGGGAGGGCCACAAAATGAGCTGCTTTAGAAAATCTGTCTACAATGGTTAAGATGACAGATTGACCGTTAGAGAGGGGTAGTCCGGTTACAAAATCCACTGCGATGTGTGACCAGGGATGATGTGTGAGATGATTTATTCTGAGAACAGACGGTGCAAGCAGATACAAAGCTACGAGTATCAGCGTCCATAGTTGGCCACCAAAAATGACGCTTGAGGCTGGACAAAGTGTGCTGTACCCCAGGATGACAGGCAAAAAAGGAGTTATGGGACCACTGCAAGACCTCACTGCGTTCAGCGGATGGGACATAGAGTCTGTTGGGTGGTCCACCTCCTGGATCGGGCTCTGTTTCCTGCGCCTTTTTCACATTTACTTCTACCTGCCAACAGAGAGCTCCAAGAACACAATTAACAGGAACAATGGTCTCAGGATCAGACTGCTCAGAAGGGTCAAACTGGCGAGAGAGTGCATCAGGTTTTATATTCTTGGAACCAGGGCGGTACGTAATGGAGAACTTGAACCTCCCAAAAAACAAAGCCCACCTGGCTTGGCGTGAGTTCAGCCTCTTAGCAGACTGGATGTAGGCCAAATTCTTGTGATCAGTCCATACAATAAAAGGCTGCTCTGCTCCTTCCAGCCAATGTCTCCACTCTTCAAGTGCGAGTTTGATCGCTAAGAGTT